ATATAATATATAACATGTCATATATAATATATAACACGTCATATATAATATATAACATAAAATAGATCATATATTATATATTATGCATAATATAGAATTAGATATTATATCTAGTGTATAATATGTGATATATATAAAGTATGATATATAATATATGATATATAATATTTAACATGTCATAAATATGTTTAATTAATATACATTGTGCAATATATAATGAATAATATATCAGATATTGTAGAGTCTAGGTTTTACATATAATATATAAATATATATTACATTAAATTATATATTTACATTAAATTCCATTACATTAAATTCCATTAAATATTGCCATTAAATATTACATTAAATATTAACAATATTTAATACTTATTCTATGTTTTATATATAATATATAAATATATATTACATTAAATTATATATTTACATTAAATTCCATTAAATTAAATTACATTAAATATTGCCATTAAATATTACATTAAATATTAACAATATTTAATACTTAGTATTTTAATATTCTATGTTGTACATTTCAAATGAACCATTTTACATTTCATTCATTCATGACCCTAGAACCTCTCACAAATAATTTCTAACCCACTAAATCCTCGTTTCTCTTTCACCCATTTCATTTTGCTTTAATTCTCATCCCCTCGTCTATTAATCCGATTAATTGGATTAATTCCCATGGGTGTTTCATCTCAGGGTCCGTAGAACCTCGTGCCTCGATGTCCATAATAACACGTAGGATCCGATTCGTTCCCCATCATCCCCACCCATTTAATAATGGGGATCTCTTTAATGAGCAGTAATTACCCACTAATTATGAAGCTCCCCTGGGTGGGGACACTTGGAGGAACTCGAGGTGAGGAACCTCGAGGTGGGAGCAGGACCTGGGGGTGGCACCTGGAGAAGGGGCTTCTGTGCCCCCCACCAATGGGGGGACCGGGTCAGGATCTTCATCCATGATGGTACCTGTTTTTTGGGGCTACCAGAAGAATTTCTGGGGCTGTCAGCATCTTCTGGGGTGGTCCAGAAGGTACCACCAGGTCTCCAGGGTTCTTGGCTGCGGGATGTTGGAGCATCTCCCTTGGAATGGCAGCTTGGGGATGTTCCAAGGGTTGAGGGTGTCAACTCCACCAGGAGGTGGATGGTGGAGGGGAGATGGGGATGGAAGTGGTGGCACCAGAAGGTGGGTGGTGGGAGGGGAGATGGGGATGGAAGTGGTGGCACCAGGAGGTGGGTGGTGGAGGGGAGATGGGGATGGAAGTGGTGGCACCAGGAGGTGGGTGGTGGAGGGGAGATGGGGATGGAAGTGGTGGCACCAGGAGGTGGGTGGTGGAGGGGAGATGGGGATGGAAGTGGTGGCACCAGGAGGTGGGTGGTGGAGGGGAGATGGGGATGGAAGTGGTGGCACCAGGAGGTGGGTGGTGGAGGGGAGATGGGGATGGAAGTGGTGGCACCAGGAGGTGGGTGGTGGAGGGGAGATGGGGATGGAAGTGGTGGCACCAGGAGGTGGGTGGTGGAGGGGAGATGGGGATGGAAGTGGTGGCACCAGGAGGTGGGTGGTGGAGGGGAGATGGGGATGGAAGTGGTGGCACCAGGAGGTGGGTGGTGGAGGGGAGATGGGGATGGAAGTGGTGGCACCAGGAGGTGGGTGGTGGAGGGGAGATGGGGATGGAAGTGGTGGCACCAGGAGGTGGGTGGTGGAGGGGAGATGGGGATGGAAGTGGTGGCACCAGGAGGTGGGTGGTGGAGGGGAGATGGGGATGGAAGTGGTGGCACCAGGAGGTGGGTGGTGGAGGGGAGATGGGGATGGAAGTGGTGGCACCAGGAGGTGGGTGGTGGAGGGGAGATGGGGATGGAAGTGGTGGCACCAGGAGGTGGGTGGTGGAGGGGAGATGGGGATGGAAGTGGTGGCACCAGGAGGTGGGTGGTGGAGGGGAGATGGGGATGGAAGTGGTGGCACCAGGAGGTGGGTGGTGGAGGGGAGATGGGGATGGAAGTGGTGGCACCAGGAGGTGGGTGGTGGAGGGGAGATGGGGATGGAAGTGGTGGCACCAGGAGGTGGGTGGTGGAGGGGAGATGGGGATGGAAGTGGTGGCACCAGGAGGTGGGTGGTGGAGGGGAGATGGGGATGGAAGTGGTGGCACCAGGAGGTGGGTGGTGGAGGGGAGATGGGGATGGAAGTGGTGGCACCAGGAGGTGGGTGGTGGAGGGGAGATGGGGATGGAAGTGGTGGCACCAGGAGGTGGGTGGTGGAGGGGAGATGGGGATGGAAGTGGTGGCACCAGGAGGTGGGTGGTGGAGGGGAGATGGGGATGGAAGTGGTGGCACCAGGAGGTGGGTGGTGGAGGGGAGATGGGGATGGAAGTGGTGGCACCAGGAGGTGGGTGGTGGAGGGGAGATGGGGATGGAAGTGGTGGCACCAGGAGGTGGGTGGTGGAGGGGAGATGGGGATGGAAGTGGTGGCACCAGGAGGTGGGTGGTGGAGGGGAGATGGGGATGGAAGTGGTGGCACCAGGAGGAGATGGGTGGTAGGGATGGGTGAGAGTGGCTTCAGGAGAAGAAGGTGGATGGTGGAGGGTGGGACAAGGGTGGACGTGGTGGCAGCAGGATGAGAAGCTGGGTAGTGTAGGGGTGTTTGAGGGTGGAAGTGGTGGAGGATCAAGGTAGAATGGTGGCCCCAGCACAAGGGGGAGGGGGTGTGAGGATGGATGTGGTGGCACCAGGAGGAGGTGGGTGATGCAGGAGGGAATGAGGGTGGCCCCAGGAGGAGCAGATGGATGGTGGATGGTGAAGGATGAAGGTGGAGGTGGTGGCCCCAGCAGGAGCAGCTGGATGGTGGAGGGGATGACCATGGGGCTTGGTGGCCGTGGGGTGAAACATCAGCCCCCAGAGCTGGAGGACAGAACCAAGGGAGCTCCAAGATCCCACTGTAGGTGGGTGCAGTGGACATGTCTTCTCCCAGGTGCCTTGGGGAGAAGGTTGAGTGATGGGGACACCTCCATGGTGGAGCTGGGGGGGTGGGAACCTCACCCTCCTCACACCCCACCCCGGGGAGCGATGGTGGAGCAGAACCCAGGGGAGAACTTAACACCTCCTGGAGCTGGGATGACCCTGAGATGACCTTCACCCTCCATGACCCCACAATGACCTGGAGATGACCTCTGTGTCCCCCCTTGTGTCTCTCTTGCAGGGGTGGCCATCAGCACCTACGCCAAGTACTGCTACAACAAGTTGCAGAAGGCGGCGCTGACGGGAGCCAAGAAGGTGCGTCCAAGGGTTGGAGACCTGGAGACCTTCTGGGAACCTTCTGGGGTCCTTCTGGGGTCCTGGAGACCTTCTGGGAACCTTCTGGTGTCCTCCTGGGGTCCTGGAGACCTTCTGGGAACCTTCTGGGGTCCTTCTGGGGTCCTGGAGACCTTCTGGGAATCTTCTGGGGTCCTTCTGGGGTCCTGGAGACCTTCTGGG